TGTGTGTGTGTGTTCCTCTTTCGTGAAACTTGTCATCTTTCTGTGTTACCTGTGAGCCAGATGTTTACACACACCCACACTATGATAATATTATGGGGTAGCAGACGCATGTCTCCATAGCGACCGCGGGCTCATGCTTTCCCACAGCTTTATGTAAAAACGGTGAAGCTGACGAGTTTCCTGCTTTTATGTTTCAAGTGCGATGATGCGGCACCCTCAGGGGGCGGAGTCTCACCTGTAAACAACGCAGCAGCAGCTTATAGCTCTTTGTGATCTCCGATCACTCCCTGCTGATGCTTTATACATGAAAAAAACAAACAATGAGTGCTTAAAGCCCCAGGAGCCAATCACAGCACGTGATGTCATTAATGAGGCGCGTACGCGGCAGGTACACACAGGTAAGTGTTTTTTCAAATCTTCCCAGCCCGACACACACGTTAGTCCGTCAGTCATCGCTGTGGGTGTGAAGAAAGGCTGAACCAGGATTATCTAGACCAGCGTCACAGCCCCAGTCTGCACACACACACATTCATGTTTACATCACTTCAGGGGACGCTGACCTGTGATCATTTTACGGGGGCCTGAGGCCACCAACAGTCTTCATAAAAATCACAGGCTCCAAATCCTGCGACTGTAAAGCCGAGGACAAAATAATCCAGACATGGAAACAGGAATTAAACGGCGAACGCAACAGGCAAAGTATTCAACAACAGCGGAGACACGCAGCATGAACCAGGGCCAAAGCACAGAGGGAGCGCTGAGGGAACTACAACAGATAAACGGATTTAGAAACACCGCTCGGGGAACAAAGTTGTTCTGTACCTGCAGCAGGTGCCGGGCTCGATCTGTCGCTCGTACACAACAGGAAGTGACGTCACTGTTATTGCTCACCTCTATGCTTACACCGTCCCCCGCCTCGTGACCGGCACGCTGGCATCATGGTACTGCATACATCTTTTATATACAGTCTGTGGTCCAACATAACTGACCTGAAGTCAGTTTGAGTTTTTCTGTCTGTTTGAAGCAGCCCTGTGGGGGACCACGCCCCCGTCAGCCTCTCTGACTGGTCACAGTCATTGGTCAGTGATCAGAGGTGCGAGCGCTCCTGAATACTTGATGGTGATTCATGGTTAAACTTTCTCACAGGGTCACCCTCCAACGTTAAACACGAGCAGCGCCTCCATCCATCCCCATCAAACACACGAGTGTGCTGTGGGAGGAGCCAGACAAGGATTATTATGAAGATCATGCAAAGCCACTCTGCTGCACTTCAGCAGTAAAGTCAGTCCGCTTTAGCAGAGCGTTCAAAAATCCCAGTGTTCATGAAGGAAACCCCAGCTTTCC